GAGTTATATTTTGTTACAAATTTTCTTTTCAATTGAAATCTAAAATATAAATTTATATTTTAACAAATGGAATTTTGTTCTTTCAATAATTATTTTTTAAAATGAATTTCTTTTATTTTAAAAACTATTATAATATAAAATAATTGCAAACAGAAATTTATTTAAAGAATTCTTCAGTTTAAAAAAATAGTTTAAGTTTAAAAGTATATAAAAGTAGACAACTCTTTGATTCTCTCATAAGGCTAGATTTCAGTCGAGACAAAGTTTTCCACCCTGTATCGGAAGAGTTTTTCTAACTGGTGTTAGTCCTGTTGTAAGAATCCTTTATGTAAGATCCGGTCCTCTACTTTCCCAGCCTCACCTGTCAGTAGTATTATGTAGCAGGGAAAGTGAAAGGGTTCCCAGATTTACCCTGTAAGCCCCTTTCTTTCACCCCGTCCCTAACCTGGTTGGAGAAGGGACGGGAGAAAGTGAAAAAAACCACTTCTCCCACACTATTCACTGTTTTTATGACCCCAGTCTTTTCTTTAGGTAAAGGGCTTCTGCATAGGTGGCGCATCCATGCACTAACCCAAGCGGAGGAGAGCAAAGGGGAAAAAACTTGAAGGGAGACAGAGAGCAAAAAACTAGTAAGACACAATAGCAATCTTTTCGTCTACAGTTCCAAAAGTGGTGACGTCCTATAAACAGATCTGTGATTCTCGCAGGTGAGCCACCGTCTAGACTTACCCCTCCCTATATGCAAATTTCTTCACAGACAGGTTTCTTTCCCCCTGTTTCCTGTCCAAAGCCAGGCTGTTTTTTCATATCTTGGGCCTTTAATTAGGTGACTACGGCCTTCGTGTCCATCATTTCATGTCCGTTCGCTTACTCAGTAACATCTGTTCCTCTTGCTTCGCAAACAGGATACCAGTTTCAAATATCGATACCTGGTGAGTCTTTTGCATATTGGACTTAGGCCATAGCATATATCTTAGAACCTTTTACTGATCCATTAGTATTTACAAGGATTATTTCTTACTGGTATTTTAGATTTTTAGTTTTAGTTTTTACTTTAGACTTTTAGTTTTTATAGTTTGTATCTAGAATAAATTTTTGATTTTTAACTTTTTCTGGCTCTCAATTGCATGCAACGTAAAACAAATTTCAAACATTATCCCCGTGTTGCAATAACTGCCACTATTCTACAAGGTAAATCACCTGTGAATAGAAGTATTAATTACTTTACAGGGTTTTAACCTTGCATCATAAACGTATGGTGAAATTAAAAGGAAAGATTATGTATTCAATATTCTTTGGGCTCATTACGTTGGACTAAAATTTCTTAACATTTATTATAAAAACGCCACAGAAAACTTTTAATGTTAAAATTCTCAAAATTTTATACCAATAAATTAATTTACATTTTTAATCTTAAAATATTTTTCAAATCTTTTTCAGATTAAATATAATAATGTAGCAGCATAAAGTACACATTTCGTATAAAAGTAAGTATATAATAAATTTTTTTATACCTTAATATTTTATAATTTAATATTTAACTCTAGTCTAATATATATTTCAATTTTCCTCTGTTAGTTTATTAATATTCTGAGTAAATAAACCAGCAAACCATTCGTGTATGTATAATTAAAGACATTAATTTAATTATATTATACAAATGCAACATTTGGTATATTTTAAAGTAGGCTATTGTTTTCCATATAGTATAAGTAAGTTGTTTTTTTCACTCGAATTATTTTCTTAATTTCACATTCTGTGAAATATAAGTATCCCTGATCTGGCATTTCTCTTGCAAACTAACCTGGCTATACTGTTAATAGTATGCAAACTGTCCAAACAATCAATACTTTCTTCTTTTGTAGTTCTCATCAACAATCGTAGCACGTACACTCAGCTATCGCCAACCTTTTTATCTACTTATTACTTTCATTTTTCGATTCTGTCTGTCACGACACGTATATTTTTGTTAGTAAAAGAACAACTTTTCAGCGTTTTACCTTACTTACCACTAAATAATCCACGAAAAATACATAAATTAATAACAGTTCTAAATATGTATAAATATATGTTCCTAAAAAAAAGTATTTTCTTTTTTGCTATTTTTAATAAATTTTTATAAAATTACATCTTTATTTTTGTAATAAATTTAATTAGTTCCGTACGATCTAAAATTTTTAAATAATTATTTTAAATAAATTAAAATCAANAATATTACTTAGTTAATTAAGTTATTATAATTCATTTGTTGATGAAGTAAAATTTTTGTTGTTTTTTTTTTAATTAACAAAAATTTCGTTATGTTGGATACACGAAGATTGAAATTTTCGTGACATTTCTGAGGTTCTACTTCTGTAGGTCTGCAGAATTAAATCGATATTTTGTCAAGGACATTAGACTAGGGTCTGAACATTTCTTAGGATTTCAGGATTCATAAATGGATATTGTAAAAAATATACATTGAATAAATCGTATACGTCGTATCAAAATGTTGTACAGAATATAATTTAAGAGTATTTTATTGTATATTTCAACTACTTAATCGATATTTGGTCGATACACTCTTCATACTTTAATCTTCTTAAGTAAATAGATTTATATGATATGTTCTCTCAGCTAATCAATGTTTTTGTTCTGTCTTCACCAGAATACTTTGCTTGGACGTAATTTGAATTAGTTAATATAAAAATGTTATGCTCTTTGAAATTCTCAAAAATTTCTGAAATAAAATTTTATAGGATATATCTTAGTTTTGTTTCTCTACTCTAAGTGATATAAAAAGTTTAGGAAACTACTTAAGGAAAAAAAATGGATAAATTTAAACGATTGTACATCGATTAATTTTTAAAAAAGTGAGCTTATAATCTGCTAATCTGTTTTAATATTAAGTTATATTTCAATTTGATTATCATTAAATTTTGGTACATGCTTAGAAACTGAGTTATATTTTGTTACAAATTTTCTTTTCAATTGAAATCTAAAATATAAATTTATATTTTAACAAATGGAATTTTGTTCTTTCAATAATTATTTTTTAAAATGAATTTCTTTTATTTAAAAACTATTATAATATAAAATAATTGCAAACAGAAATTTATTTAAAGAATTCTTCAGTTTAAAAAAATAGTTTAAGTTTAAAAGTATATAAAAGTAGACAACTCTTTGATTCTCTCATAAGGCTAGATTTCAGTCGAGACAAAGTTTTCCACCCTGTATCGGAAGAGTTTTTCTAACTGGTGTTAGTCCTGTTGTAAGAATCCTTTATGTAAGATCCGGTCCTCTACTTTCCCAGCCTCACCTGTCAGTAGTATTATGTAGCAGGGAAAGTGAAAGGGTTCCCAGATTTACCCTGTAAGCCCCTTTCTTTCACCCCGTCCCTAACCTGGTTGGAGAAGGGACGGGAGAAAGTGAAAAAAACCACTTCTCCCACACTATTCACTGTTTTTATGACCCCAGTCTTTTCTTTAGGTAAAGGGCTTCTGCATAGGTGGCGCATCCATGCACTAACCCAAGCGGAGGAGAGCAAAGGGGAAAAAACTTGAAGGGAGACAGAGAGCAAAAAACTAGTAAGACACAATAGCAATCTTTTCGTCTACAGTTCCAAAAGTGGTGACGTCCTATAAACAGATCTGTGATTCTCGCAGGTGAGCCACCGTCTAGACTTACCCCTCCCTATATGCAAATTTCTTCACAGACAGGTTTCTTTCCCCCTGTTTCCTGTCCAAAGCCAGGCTGTTTTTTCATATCTTGGGCCTTTAATTAGGTGACTACGGCCTTCGTGTCCATCATTTCATGTCCGTTCGCTTACTCAGTAACATCTGTTCCTCTTGCTTCGCAAACAGGATACCAGTTTCAAATATCGATACCTGGTGAGTCTTTTGCATATTGGACTTAGGCCATAGCATATATCTTAGAACCTTTTACTGATCCATTAGTATTTACAAGGATTATTTCTTACTGGTATTTTAGATTTTTAGTTTTAGTTTTTACTTTAGACTTTTAGTTTTTATAGTTTGTATCTAGAATAAATTTTTGATTTTTAACTTTTTCTGGCTCTCAATTGCATGCAACGTAAAACAAATTTCAAACATTATCCCCGTGTTGCAATAACTGCCACTATTCTACAAGGTAAATCACCTGTGAATAGAAGTATTAATTACTTTACAGGGTTTTAACCTTGCATCATAAACGTATGGTGAAATTAAAAGGAAAGATTATGTATTCAATATTCTTTGGGCTCATTACGTTGGACTAAAATTTCTTAACATTTATTATAAAAACGCCACAGATTTTTTTTAATGTTAAAATTCTCAATATTCAGTGAAAACTGTGTCATCATTTTACATGTTTCTCTATTCTGGTTTGAATGCGGAATAACACTTGCAATTCGAGTTGTACGCAACCTTTCTCGATTCAAGTTTCGTACGACCTTTGCAATTTCTAACTCCTACCAATTCAAGTTAGACACGATTTTTATAAAATTCGAGTTTCCAATGACCCTTTCCCCCCGAACTCCTTAATTCGAGTTTCATACGATTCTTGTTTACCACCGTCTGACGTTATTTGTTAATTGATTGATGATATCGAGTTGACTCCAGATATTTTTATTCGGGGATTTATTTTCTTATAAAAGATTAATTTGGAATTCCTATTGATGGGGACCTCAGGCAATTGCCCTTTTAACTCATAGTTAAACGCTGTACAATGGGTTATCTGCGTTTAAAACTCAAGTTACAGGGTGGGGCGGGCTATTCCAACGTTTTATTTTCATTTATCTGAGGTTATACACGCGAAGATGCAAGGTTATACGCACGAAAATGCTTCGAGGCACTGACTGAACTTGATAAGATAAAGAAACTTAATTACAAACTTAATACGATCTTCATGGCTTTAAAATAAAATGAGTAATTTTGCACACATTAAACTCTTAGAAAATAAAGATCATTTTGCTCATTAAACTCATAGAATTATCGATTATCGTTTTTAAAGGGTTTAATAGAGTAGAACTCTTCAAATTAAGATTAAATTCTCTCAGAGAATCTTTCCTGATTCGTTAGTGATCCCGAAATTCGTAGTTTGTATAGAAACTTACGGTAGATTGGCTTACAGGTATCGACCCAATTACTTACTCTAACTAACTGAGCGTAACCTAGCTTATCTCCTGCATTGCCTCCATCTCTAAATGCTGGATATTCCCAATCCAGATCGAGTCCATCGAAGCCATGCTCTCGTAGGAACTTCATTGCGCTCCTGACGAAACGTTGCCTATTGCTATACGATTCTACCAGCTTAGAGAATCTAAATTAACGGAAAAAAATCACTCAAATTAAGTTACTGATTTAATTATAATTAAAACCCAATTTGCCTCATCGAGGCTCTAAACTTAAAAGGCCTCACGCTTAGAGACTATTTTAAGTTTAGAATCTCGATGAGGAAAAGGCCCTTTATACATTATAGGGCTCGAAATCCGGCCTTGTTTATAAGAAACTAAAGGATATAACGAACCTCTTTGAACCTTCGTTCCACCCTCCAACAGCTATCATTGTCTTTAACTTATTGTTGAAGGTTTTTAACTCCACAAATTTTTTATAATTTCCTAAAAATATTTAATTAAATTATAATAACAGTATCTACTTTTTTTATTATTATTATTAATTTAAATAATTATAAACTCGATTACCTTGTTCGATGTCATTGTACGGGTCGAAAGGTTTCATCTCGAATTCACTGGATAGACCACCGAAAGCGTAAATGATGTGAGTACAAAGGTAAGGATTAATATTTTGTGGTGTAAATTTGGCTAAACCCGGTCTATACACGGCCCAATTAGAATAATAACATATAATTTTTAAATCTTTGGCATCTTTCTTCGATATTTCACCTGGAGAAAAAACGTGGTTAAAAATAGATTTCAGAGACGTCTGAACCACCAGTAAATAATTTATTTTTTATTTTTTATAGTGAAATTTCCTTCTTCCACACATTCTGGATATGTTTATTGAACGAATATCGCGGGTTTTAAAGAGGAAAATCGTATTAATTATTGTATCATTATCGCGACCTATAAAGCAAACATTGTCCCATTTAAATTCGTCTACCGAATTTTTCTTATATTCTTAAAGAAGAAGAAGAAAAAAAAGGATTTAAAAGAGAAATGTGAAAGATTAATGTAGAACAGAAAAGAAATTAACCGTTGGAAACGTAATTAAACTCCTACTTTAATGGCCATTCGTGAAAAATTTCACCAAGATGATGGCACTCGTTAAGACAAAATGGAAGATTAGAAGAGGGTGAATTTTTTTTCTATGGTTTTTAAGAATACGATGGACGAAAAGTGACCTAAATTACCTCTCAATGTTACCGACGAAAGTATTTTTCAGGTAATTACGTAAACAATCGTTTTTTATTTATTTATTTATTTCTTCTTCTTGTCCATGCGAAGAATCATTATCGTCTTTAAAATGCCTTTTCAATAATCGGAAGCATTAGACTATGAAGCAATTTAAAATATCCGAGAAGAAAATAAAAGATTTTGATTACTTTTAGCATATTTTAAGGAAGAATAAACATATATTTTAAAAGCCTACAATTTACTCGGCAGATCCAGCATTAAATAAATCTTAAATTACAATAGAGGCCAAGGACAACTAGAAAAATTTTGTGCAACTTCTACTGGTTTCACTTCACTCGCAGACCTGAATAAAATTCTTTTTTAAAATGTTTTTACTCCTCTGCATTTTAATCATTTTTCTTCCGTTTAATTTAATTAAATTATTTTCTTTAATAAGTTATAGTGCTGAAAGAAGTTAGCAATGCGTTATTAGATCTTTCACTAATAAGCGTAAATTATTCACTAACTGTGTTGAAAGCAAATGAAATTATTGTAAAAAATACTCGATTTCTACTTGGCTATAAGCAATAAAATTAATTCTTTAGTGTAGAAACCATTTATATCTATGAAATCATTATAATAATCTTAAATACTTACTTAATTTTGACTTATTAAACTAAATTTTTAAGTATTTATTGTTAGAAGACCTTAGCAGTAAGCTTAGTTCGTTCAGCAATAAAGAATTCTTTCATTAGTTCAGTTCTTTCAGTAATAAACTTAATTCTTTCAGCAATACGCCTAATTCTTTCTGCAATACGCTTAGTTCTTTCAGCAATACGCCTAATTCTTTCTGCTATACGCTTAGTTCTTTCAGCAATACGCCTAATTCTTTCTGCAATACNAATTGGAATGTTGATTGTGGACCTAATTAAAGACATACGTTTATCTTGAACAGTATCTTGAACAGTGTAAAATTATACAATTTAATTTAACAACATTGAACTTATATCCATTGCAATGATAATTAAATTCTTTATTTTCACAAAAAATAAATTTACAAGCCAACAGAAAGCAGATATACATAAAAAGTAGTATACAATTTTATTTAAAAAACATAAAATCTTAGATAAGTTTTTAAAAATTAATTAATATATAATGACGAATTTATGTAGATTATATTTAAATATAATTAATTATCAAACTAGCAGTTATACTTATCTGAAAATAATCTATTAAAATAGACAGCACAAAGGAAGATATAATTCATTAATTATCATAAAATTTGAATTAACAGCTTTCAGGTGTTTGCTTAGTTTCAGTAATACTAATGCATGTTGTTAGATCTGTTTTTGGGCCCAAAGGGCCATTAGCTAGATCGTCCTGATTTATAATTCTATGTCATAGTTATCGTTATCATAACACTTACCTGGCAAAACAAGAATTTTTTTAGAACTCTAATCCAGTTAAATATATGCTATCCATGATATAATCAGGATTATACGCTTGCATAGTTAGGAATTATTATTTAATGTAATATTTTTTTTCTCGATTTATTTTCTCATCCACGAGTTAGCCAGTGATGCAAGAAATGTGATCAGAATATATAATAAGAATCAGGAACCAAACTTCTAGAGGACAATTGCACTAACAACGAATCTTGTGAAATAAGTAGCATGCTCACTGGTTAAAATCATCTTAGAATGGAGGATGCATCTAATACGACTGCGCAGTAACAGATGTTTGCAAAACGTAATTTGTCGGAGAGTATGGCCAATTCCTGATGAGAACATCTAATGACAGCAAGTAAAACACAGCACTGGCCTCACCCAGTTCACATAGCTATTGGATCCACGTTCAATTCTTTTCGTCTGATTGGCTTGCCTTTAGTATGATAGGCGTTCCTTCAATTTCCCATCTACCAATGAGGGCTCAGTTCCGTTTGACAGTTAGGTGAAAGAGCTATGACAAATAGGTGTCTAGTGGAGCAGATCGAGTTGGGTAGAAGGAACGAGGCCAGTTGCCTTTCTGCCAGCTCATGACTCGCGTGCAGTTCCAACGGGACATTGTGGTGCTGGATCTGCGGCGCAGTGTAACGACGTTAACGTCTTGAGTTTGGTGTTGTCTTGGAGGGCTTTGGATAGTCTTGTTTTCTACAGGATACTGTAGTCCGCACGTGGTTTAGAGCCTCCTCGCCAACGGGATGTGTCTGCAGTGTTACACTCCGACTGCACTCTGATAGTGAGGAATAGTGTCGTCCGTCTACAAGTTTGGAATTATCGTGAGCGAGGTATGGAGTTCTTACTGTGCACAAAACAGGTAGGAACTTCATACCATGCTCGCGATGACTTCAAATAACCCTTCTGTGGATTGCAAGAAGTGTGAAGTCTTCGTAATTGCTTCTGTGTCAAAGACGTTTGTGCACATAGGTCTTATGAAAGCAACTGGTTATCAACAATCGGATTTTTAACGGTAACTTGTTTGTATTCATTTCTTAACTTCGAATTAAAGCAGCTGTTGGAAGGAGAAGTAATCGTGTATTGCCGATTTATTGTTATCGGTTTCCCGCCATGTTTCCCTATGGGGCGTTAGGCTTAGACGTTAAGCATTGCCTAACCGGTCCACGGCTTCTTAATTCTTAGCTAATACTAACGTGTTTTGCTAGATAGACAGTACTTTCAGGCGATACTAATCCGGTTGTTATACAACTCTCTACTCGTTGCAATAATAGCGTTTGTTTGCTTTACCTCTTTCGGCACTTAAACCCTATCACTAATGTCTTTTCGCCAGCTTTTAATCACTATTTTAATTTAATTTGGATGTAATATTGCATATTATTATCTCAGATTACGTGTTACACGTTTAATTAGAGTTTTTAATGTGTTTAAGATGCAGAAAAGCAGTTAGGCCTAACATGTTATGGTAGGGTTAAGTACAGACAGAGTTATACTACTATTAAATTAGTTTAGAAGCAATATTATCATTATAATTATATTTGTACGTGCTTTCCCCAATTATCACTTCGATTTTCTATGCAATTGAGCTACTGACAGTTATTTTGTACAACAAAATAAAAAATTAGGCTTAATGTTTGTTGACATTCTGAAATTTGAAGATATTTATTAGTTTACCTATTAGAATTTAGTCTTTTCTCCTATATTCTTATAGAAAAATAATATATGATTTATAATTAGTGTTATTTAAGCAGTTATATTCTTTAATTATTTTATTTTCATATAGAATTAGAAATAAATTCACTCTTTACTCACTTTTCACAAGCTTCAGAAAAATTGAATAATTTTGAATTAAAAATAGATTTAAAACTTATAAGATGTTCTGTAGAAGTATAGACTTATATATGTATATATTATGAGCAAATATCTGTTAGGTTATTAAAGTAAATATCTATAAACGTTTTAAAAATATAATTCTTTATTTTGTTACAATCAAATATTTTTCTTTGACATTTTTTTATGTATTAGAATACATTTAAAAAAACAAAATAAGAGTATTTTTGTACTCTTATTCTGTTAAATATTTTTTTTTATTTCTAAAATTTGTGTAAACATATTTTGTGTTAACTGTATTTTTTGTCTTCTTATCTTAAAAAAATAAGAAAAAATATAATCGTATCTCAATATTCTATATAAGATTTATTTTAATATTTTATTCTACATATTTATATTGTATATAAATAATAAAAATTCATGTTCGTAAATTTTATATTTTNGAGTAATTTTCAAAATTTTTATTTAGTGAATTAAATGTAGCCTACATGCATCTTTTTTATTTGTGAAGGACACCTGTTGTAAAATGTAAGATTGAACTGTTTCTGTTTGAAGTGAAATTGGCTCTACTAGTATTAGTGTTATCACTATGTAAATTTTAATATATAAAACCTTTAAATTATAATTGTTAAGTGTATTTAGGAAAGAAAAAAAATGAATTTATTTATAAATTATAAAGGCCTAGTTTCTCTAAGCAATTTTATGTCTTAGATAGTTTATTAGATATTCTAGACTTAAACCCTTTCTTTATGATAGATACTTGGAATAAATTTGATGCAGGATGTAGCTTAACATTTAATTTAGCATGGTAAAATGAATTTTTCTTATATAGGCTAACATATATTTTTTTTTTAATTGAATTTTTAGAATATTTTACTGAATTATAAGCTTATATCACTTTTTGGATAAGTTTATAATTTCATTAATGTACATTCTTCTTAGAAATGCTTCTGGTTTTGTAAATTCAATCAAGGACAACCAATAGAAGACTTTTCTGATTAAATGAACGGGTTATGGAGGGAAAGTCGTTAAGCCTAACTGTACGTTAGTTTCTCTATTGATGGATTGCTTTGTCGAAATACAAATGGGAACAAGTAGAAAAAGACGTTGTACAAGTTCTGAATCTTATTTGTGACGTTATTATGATAGAGCACCAACAGGATATAACTAAGAAGAATTAGGTCACAAATAGGCTTGTTTAAATTTAGTTAAGATAAATTTCCCTCTAATTTAATGTCACTTATAAATGTTAAAAAATATATATAAAACTATTTTAGTTAAGAGATTTTTATATAATAAAATTGATGGATCTAAAGAAAAACTTATGCACTGTACAGTATTTTAAATTTTGGTATATATAAATTTTATTTGCTTATTTTAAATGTTTCCCTTTAAATAATTTTTTAAAAATATTTATATTAATTGACGAAATTATTGAATATCAAAATTAATAGGTGATTTTGTTTGCAAAGGAAATAATATGGAGAAATCAATAAAAAAATGAACGGCAAAAATGCTAAAAAATGAATCTTAATTTTTTACATCCAAAAACACCACCCTTTCAACATTATTTGGCACTGATAACCGATTCTTTACCATTTCCCTTAATCCCCTCCTGCAACAGCCCTGTCTGTCTCCCTTCCCTGTCTCCTATCGATTTTCTAACCCCAACATGAAACAAAGGGTTCTAGTAGAAACCCTTTCTTTAAGCATCGTCTGTTTAGGTTAGGTTACGTACTTAATCACATTTTTGCTCGGAATCCGTCTTGAAGCCGGACATCTTACTAATGATGTCATTGTCCAGTGTAAGGAGATCAAGTTTCACTCTCTAGCAGTCAGTCTCTCTTCAGTTAGTCCAGACAGTCCCCCTTTTCCGGGCCTCCTTCCATTCGCCAGCTGGTCTATATGCAGGTGTAACGAAGTCGAATTTCATCTTAAATAACCCTTGCCTTAGAGATATTACCAATAAAACAATATTAATTAATAAGAAACATACCATCACACTCATTTCCTGTTATTTTACAACATGCCCACTTCACTTCCGGTTCTGCTGACAAGTGAGAATGGTCTATAAGTGTATGTTATCCAGCCTATTCCTATTAGAGAATTTTACAGCCCTTTAAGACTATTTATAATTTTTAAAGTGATGTCTGGCATTAGTTGTTCTCAAGATATTAAANCAATACGCTTAGTTCTTTCAGCATTAATCTTAATTCTTTCAGCAATGAGCATAGTTCTTTCAGCAATAGGCTTAGTTTTTCAGCGATATTGCTAATTTTTTCAGCAATAAATTTAATTTTTCAGCGATAAATAACGTAGAAGTCAAGCTAAATCCACGAAATTATTCAAAAAAATTCTACTACTTACTTAAAACCTTAAAAATACTTACTTAACTTCGATACTGCGACTTGAAAATACAAAATCAGCGTGAGAAGAAAAAATGGCTGCATCTGTAATGGAATAAAAATTAAAATCAGCGTAGGAATACGAAAGGAAAAAGAAAAAAATTTACGCATTCAAGGCTGAGTAGTAATGTTAGGAAAATGTGAATAAGATGTCCTTCGTGATCTTAAAATCTTCCCAATGATTAGTAATTTATAAAAATGACGTCCTTGTTTTCAGTTCTTCGACCTGGATGCTAATATTTACGGATCTTCAATTAACTTACACTGTTTATTTCCTTCTTTTAAAAATAAATATCGGTTATTATTCTATTAAAACTTCAATATTTTATACCATTCGGTTATAAATTCTGACGTTTATAGTTTAATTTAATTACTTATAACTTTCTATTCTTGTTTCATTTATAGTAAAGGATTGTGCTGGAAGGAAAAAAGGGATGATACGTAATTAATGATAATATTTTCTCTTCAGGAAAGTCTGAAAATCAATAAAGGAAGTAAAGAAAGTAATTGTACCAATTTTTATTCAATTTATTTTATAGAATTGCCTTTGAAAACGGTAAAGATGAACTTATTAGTTGCAATTGAAGGTACTTTTTTATTATCATTTTTTTTTTATATATTTCTAATTAATTAAACTATATTTTTTTGTAATTTCTTCTATACTTTTTATTATTTTAGTCGATTTTTAACCCATTTAATGAAGTTCCGATGCTATAAAACTCATTTTTGTAAACTGTTTCTGACGATTTTCATTATTAATTTATAAAATTAAGGCGGATAATATTGTATAAATATTTCTGTATTTAAGTAATTGTTGTAATATTATAGCTAATTTACAATATTTACCCTTAGTTTTGCATAATATATAGGGCGGGGCAAAAGTTAGTTAACTCTGTTTTGTGATTTATAAATATTTATGCCAATTTGTAAAAGTATGTTAAATTAAAATAAGACCTTAATTTGAACGGTGTTTGTAAATTTTCTATATATTAAATTACTTGAAAAAGACAGCTAATTAGTCTTTACAGCTGTTAACCGACTTTTGGGCCACCCTGTATATCGATACGTATGTTACAATACAAGCGATATATATGTATGAACTGTAATGAAATATCTGGAATTTCTTGATCTGATTAAGATCTTGTTCACTTAAAAAACACCATTTGTTACTAGTACATGAAAACTAATTATTGAAAGCAATACACTATTCATTATCAGTAATGTTCTATTAACCTTTTCACACAGATTTTTTTTTCCACGGGTATGTATACCTGAAAATCTAGGGATTTTCCCTGGCAACATAGAAAAAAAAAATCTACGTACAACGACGAGATATTTAAGATAAACAGTTCTTGCTACTCGAGACTTACAAGAGATAAAGAACCCAGAAACAATAGAGTATACACTTAAATAATTACAGGAAATCTAAACATTTACTGTTATAATGGATATTTTTGAGTTATTTTAACGATTTTAACGAATTTTTTCGATAGTTTTTGCTGTATACTTGCAATTTCTTATTTGCAGCTTCCTGTTGTAAGTAAGTAAACGAAGGCTGTCGAATTAAGTGGCACGTATCCAACAAAACTATAAAATCTAAGCAAGAAATTACTAATTTAAAACGTTCCAGAAGAAACCAACGTGCGAAAAATTTCTTTTTCTTTTTATTTGTTTATAAGAAAAATAAAAAATAAATTACATCTGTCTCACTTCAAATTCTCGAGTCGAATTCGACTATGTGTGTTAAAGGTTTATCGCTTGAGTAGGGATGTATAAAGCGTAGTGTCAATAGGTCAAACGTACCGTACGATTATTCAATATTTTTAAAGTCGTCTTCCTGATTATTTATTGGAATTTCGAGACGAGAAAAATCCAGCGATTTCGTAGAATGTTGCAGACAGCCTTCACCAAACTCATCCTACAGGTTGAACGCTTTCGATGCCAAAGAAATTAGGACAGTTAGAATACGCGTGGATATACGTATTTTGATCGGGATTTTTTTTCTAATCGGATTATATAGAACGTTGGTCTGAATGTTCGCATTTCAATTACAAAGAGATGAATGGTATCGTAATGAAAATTTAACTCGGTACTTCATCCAGGATTAAGGTTTGGTTATAAAGAAGCTTTAATTAAATTCGGCAATTTCATATTCTTTTGAAGAATATATAAAACCATCCAGATGTTACCTGGAAAACCACCTATAATCGGCACGATCTGGCCGAGCCCAATGACATTCCATAAACCAGTTTTTATATCAACTTGATATTTAGGTCAAAATCTAACCTACTGACAAAGTAGTTAGTTTCCTTCTGTTTCTAAGATGTTTACAGACGGTACTTAACAGAAAATGACAATTCTTCGCAAATTAGATACGGCATACGTCTTCCTCCTGAAGGCCCCCTCGTTGAAACCTTTGCAAGAAAGGGAATTTTTGTAAAATATTCACGAGATAACAATAGATTTTGTTAATTAATAAATGTTGCCAACCACTGTGAAGATAACAATATCAATTTTGAAAGAATACATAGAAATTTACGCTTCGGGTCGCACATTTTCGTGTTTTCATACGAGGGTGAGAAGGTAACCTCATTATATAAATTGTAGATTTTTATCTTAGAAAACTTTTTGTGTCTAGAACTCCTTATCTTCAATGGATGCGTGTGAGAGTTAAAAATAAACCTGTTTTTTGGGTGTAAACTTTCGCAATTACTAAACACGGCTCCTTCAAATGGGTGCGATGATGACATAAAAATTCATTGTTTAAAATCTCTTTAAATCACAGAAAATGTCTTCCTGTTTCTATAATAAATTTATTTATTTTCTAGTCTTTACACAAATAATATTAACGATTTAATAGGAGTTACAGCCTATATTTTGACAATAAAAAATTTTATGGTCTATGGATTAAACAAATAGTGTTACTTTACTTTTGTAACTGTAGCAAGTTCGAAGATTATCTTTAAAAATAAATATGTCAAGCTGAATTTTACTATAATTTTCCGTGATTTTTGCAAGATTACAAAACGATACATATTAATTACGTTACAGAAAAAGAATGCGAGTGCAAATGGTAATTTTAATATGTAAAAATACGTTGCGTAACTTATGGTAGCGAGTATTTAACGCACTCTTCTTTTTTTTCTCATTGGGAAAGTATAAATTTGGCATTTATTCAGCTATATTACACTCAAAACAATTAACTAGGTCAAATAAGAGTTCCCCGCAAAACCCGGAAGCGCGACATCCGACGTCATACCCATGTTCCATGTATTCCTGTCACGTCAGACGGGAGTGGATAGAAGTTTCTATGCTCGAAATAATTTCTTGTAATAGTTTATTTATGGTTTTATCTATAAAATATTCTATTGTTACTAATCGACATCTAGATCAAAAACGAGTTATAATTACCAATTGAGTACAGCTACCGTTAAGATGGTAAGAGGTAGATAATTCAGCACCGCACGCGTTGATTGCGGTGCTGAATTATCTACCATTGATAGAAAATATGGCTGAAGTCCAATTGTGACGACTGTTTTTGAGTTTATAGCTGCTAGAAACTCGAATTTTAGAGGTTGTTGCTGAGTCAGTTTTATGCTAAATTGCCTCAGGATGAAAATTTTCAGTCTATGACCAGTTAAGCAAACAAGAGATATATATTTTTTTAAAAACTGGTTTAAGCTTTGAAGATTAAAGCCATTGCCAAAATGCACAATGAACACAATACGCAAAATATGTAATGATCACGTGGCAGCACGAATTTGAAGTCCCCTAAAACCACGAATTTCTTTAAATAGCCATCACAAATTGTATAAAATAACCCGTTAATAATGAATATCTTCGATATAACGAAAATTATTTGAAATTCTACATACTCAAATATAAATTTATCAATGTATCTTATACATTTATACTTATAAAAACACAAAGAAAAGAGAGTAAACAACCTTTAACTTCGCACCATTCCTCTTCAACGCCTGCGTAATTCTAACTGTCCCATTTTTATATTAGAAAGTTTAATTAAGAATTATCAATAAATAAAACAAGAAGTTATCGCATAAACTAGAACCTATTTGAAACCAAAGAAAAGTTTTGAAAACAGAGAAAAAAAAGGAGTAATAAAAATACTCGTCCGTCGGCATTTTATTTCCTTTATGAAAATTTCATGCGGTTGACAAGTTTTAAATAGGTAAAAAGGTTTATGGAAGGTTATCCTAGTTACGGTAACATTCCAATTAATAGTTTATTTCGATTATTCTTTATCTAGAAAGAGAAAATGCCAAAGTTGTAGATCCCTCAAGGTCGCCGGGTACAACCAGAAATTTTGAAGAATTTAATCGTCCATCGATCAATGTAAAGAAATATAATCGTAGAAATGATGTATTACATCCGATATTACAAAGTTTTCCTCCATAGATTTATAATTATTCCAAGTTTTTACTGGTTACAAGACTTTTTATCAAAAGAAAATTCGAGTCTGTCGCGTGTTCACTTGACACACTTCGACAGGACGTTAACCATTTGTACTAAATCTTTCAGACATATCCTCGTATCTACAGGCAAAGGATGGTACTTGGATAAACATCTAAGCGAGAACGTAACAAATTGCAAAATTATTTGTTAAATCTATATAAATTCGAATTTTAATATAGAAAAATGGCGCAGTTAAACTGGTTTCGCCTATACTGTTCGAGATTTCTCTTGAAATTTTCTAGTAAAAAAATTATTATAGAAAAAGAAAAAAGAAAAATGCTTTAGTTGTTTTGCTTCTTGCAAAACTTACCTTGCGGTAGGACTTGCGACGAAAATATATCTGAAAGTCCTTAAGCACCACTCCCAAAAGAATCCCTCTCGAACCCAATCATAGAGCAACTTGCAAGAACAACTCCGAGTGTAACGAGTAACTGCTAACTTCTTTCAATTTATACTGTCCTACTTCCGATTGTCTTCAGGAAAGTGTACTTGATACAGCGCCGAAATAAACACGGTGGCAATTCGAAGAACTAATTTGCAAATTATTATTTTCCATCGATTAGGTGAATGCCATTTCTCCAATCTCTAGAATTTCTTTCTTTCATCATTTTCTATTCATTTCGAAAATCGAGAGTTAATTTCTTCTTTCTCTCTCTCTCTCTTTCTTTTTAAAAAAATATATTTATTTTAGAATTAAATTTATTGAAGCAAAGTGAGAAATTTATTTATTTACCCTTTGATATGATTTTCGATATTATTTACGTGCCGTTTCCGTTCCGTTTTTCCGCATGGGATCCGACATTGTTTGGACCTTTCACACCAAGACGTGACGTGAATTTGATTTTTCTCATCTCTAAATGATTTCTTTCTTCTTCTTTTAATGTTCTAGAAACGAAACGGTTCGACCTAAATGCTCCTTTTTTTCTTCATTGACACCCTTTTTCACTCGGAGGAGGACGATTTTTCCTAAACGTTCGACTTACGAATAATTAATTTTAACGTCACTCTTCTCTAACAGACGAAGAAAAAAAAATCCGAATTTTTAAGAATTATTTTCTTTTACTTACTTAACGCTCGAACGATCGATAATCTCTTCTTGGTACAAATTAATTCGTTTGTATGAAAGAAGAGGAGAAGATCCTCTTTTTGAGGAGCAAAAATCGGAGCTATCCAAACGGGTGGCATTCTTTAACGATTTTTCTTTTTTTATGCCGAAAAAATTCAATTTTTTGCTCCTATTTTATCATTTTTTAACAGACGGAATTACTGTTTAACCTTTATAAATTGATCCAAACAATTAATTCTTAATGGTTTACCAAGAAAAATCGAAAAAGTGGAACAGTAATACTAAAAGATTCGATTTACTCGAGCGTAACAGGAAGCAATAACAGGTCGAGCGTTAGTAAACATAACATTTTCTTATTTAATTGTACAAGATACAATAAATGACACCCGTACAGTTACGCGGGAGGGAGTAAAAATGGAATTATAACGATATTGTCCGATGCCCATTGTAAGCAGCGAAAGTCCTTGCAACTGTTTGTTCATCACAATTGACGAAAGAAAAAAAAAAATCCATTCTTCTCTACTTTCTTTTTAAACATTTATCAATAGATTTTGAATGAATTGAACCCCAGATAAATTCGAGACGTGTGGCGAAAATTTGAGGATTTTGGGTCTCGAAATCTAGATTTTTGTAAGTGATGCAATGGTATCCGATATCGTCCTATGGGAAAATACAAAATATCTAGACCTGAATAAGGTAAATGACTGAGAGTAGCCGTGACCTACTGACCGGAAAAATATATTGTTATCTTCTTAGCATCTTCAATAGTTCTTTCACTAAAGGTCGTTCTGATATCGAACTGATTTCACTAACTGACCCTTTTCGATACGTGCGATTTCAATTCAATCCAATGATATCGCTTCTTTGAACATTTATCTGTTAAAAATATCCTCTTTTTTTTAATTTCCTACGATCTTTTCCTGTAGGAGATGTTATTCTTTACTCGTTTGTTCTTACCGTCACGTAATTTATTAATTTTAATTAAAGAAATCGCTTCTTCTAAGTGGACACTCCGAACGTAAATTACACGGTAAAACCTGTGTAAATCGGAATCGCACGGTAGCGAATGTTTTCCTTTTTAGGCAGGTTTTACTGCATTTAAATTATTTAAAAATTTGATTGATTATTCGCTGTTTTTTCAGCCAATTTTTTAATACGATCCTTCATCAACTTGTTTTTATTTTAAATTTAATTAAATTGTAAAGAAATAATATAATATTTACTTGAATATTTTTGTAACGCCAGTTAAATGGAACCAGTTAAATTGCTTGTTTTACTCGTGGCACGATTTGTATGGGTGTAGCAATATTAAATTCGTGCGTCACGCGTGGATCTTTGAGTTTTACTTACATTGTTATATTTATCGCTCTGGTCATTCATGAATGTGACGTGTGAATTTCATCATTTTTTCGGAATTTTAAGGCGGAATAATTTTAAAATTTTGGATTTTCTTAATCTCTTCCATTCATTTTTTTTTTTTTTAATATTATCTACGTTGTCATCGTTTTATTTTTCATTACAATTATAAATGGACTGAGAAAAATGTGGTACAGATTAGTGAGTCAGTTATAAATGTCAGGCACTATCTCTTTACGAAAACTGCAAAATATGTGAATATAACTATATTAAAACTTTCAATTTATATCATATTTTCTTTACATAAGAGGTTTTTATTTTTTGAAGCCTCAAAATTTACTATTTGAAGTATACAGTGTGGCCTAAAAGTCAGTTGATCGAGTTAGCTACGTTTTTTAATATCTTGGTTAACTGATTTTAGGATATTTTAAAGTTATTTTATTAATAGAAATTATTTAAAATGAGAATTTTGAGAGTAAAATCTTCATTTTTTAATGAAGAGTAATAAAAATTCTGTGTGCATTGTATCTTATATAATTCGAGTGAATTGCAACGTTCTAACCATTCTGTACATTAACTATGGAATTACATGCGTTTAATGTAGTACAGGACCATCGGAGGATTTAGACTTCAATTTCTATACAACACATTGCTCTTTTTACCCTGCAGGCACCAAGGGGCTTTTCTTTCCATTACCATTAAGAGTTGGTTCGGGCCCCATCGTGAGTCTGGACCGGGTGGCAAGAAATGGGAATCGAAGTATTCGGAGCCCATCACCCATGAGAAATTCTTGGGATTGCTCGCCGGAATTCGATTCCGGGTCCACCAAATTGGTAAGTTAATCAGCATAAAGGAAAAATACAATTTTTGAATAACTTCAAAGATCTAGAGGTTTTTCTCGTTAATAGAACATAAACGTTAAGTACACTCTCTCGTTTATCTTCAGACTTAAGGCGATAAAACGTTAAATCGAGTGATAAATCCAATAACAACGGATACAGTTAGAATGCAAAGCGGATTTTGCATCTTATCAGCATTCGGAGATTTGTAACACGAAAGGAGATGGCACAATTCGCTTGAACCAAAGAAGATTTTGTTAATGATTACGCAGTTTACTTTTAATCTAAACCTCTATCGACCGATTCGGAGTTTGTTATCGATTAAAATTACACAAGATATTCTTTAGAACACGCCATTCTAATTACTCAATTGAGAACTAAGACCGGAAAGAAGATTTGTTAAAACCCACGCGATAAGTTCTGTGATTTATGTTGACATGTGGTTTTATTAATCATACATTATACATTCGATACACATTATAACTTGAACTGATATATGTTTAGAATTTTAATCAGGAAAATAAACATCTCTACTATTTTTTTAAACATTTTATTTACAGTTTATGTGTCAGTAGTTCGTTAAAAATTGGAAAAATGAATCTGCAGTTCTCCATTGAACACGCTCTTATAATGGATTCAATATTATATTTTGGAAAATATTAAGTATAGCCTAAATTCGATGAATATATACTTTTATACAAGAGAATATTCGAGGAACCAACTAGAAATTCGTTTAAAAGATAATTTATTTTGATATGTTTACATTAAGAATCGATTGTAAAATGGCAGTTCGTTCATTCTTTTCTAGACATTTATCTTAATATAGTGCTCTTTCCTCAATATTATATATATTTATAAGAAGATTTTAAGTAAAGGAAACTCATCAATCAACTGTCAACAATCGGAAATTGAGAAAGATTTAGAATTCCGGATTGTCTAGACGAAATTATCGCCTTTTTCTAGATCAGCAATCTGTCAGTTCTTAGGAATTAGAGTAGAATAATGTGATTTATTTAACTTTTCTTTACAAATATTCTCATCTTCTGTGTCATAAAAGCAATTATATTCATCGGATTCTATGTTTTTCTTGTCAATTTTGTAGAAAAATAACGTATCGTTCCATATTTTGTGATATATTTTTATTTTTATCGTTTCTTCGCATACGTTACAATATTTCTTTCTTTACTTTTCTCCATATAAATATCGTTTATATCCTTATTTGACTGAGTCTAAATTCATTTTTAAAGCTGCTAACATGTAAAATTTAACCGAAAATTAAAATATGGATATTAATTTTGAATCTGTATATAATTTTAGTATTTTATTAAGAGAAATTTGGATAAATTATTTAAAAAGTAATTTAAAGAAAGAATTGAAAGAGAAAATTATTAGTTAAATTATTTAACAGTGGCCAAGTGTTTAAACCACTGAACACAAAGTCGCGGGTTTCTGCTGAACACGTGAAGTTTTCCGGGATTTTTCACGTGTCTAACACCTAAATAAGGGCCAATTTCTCTTATAGAAAGTTTCCTTAGATCTAACAAGGGGGTGCTTCCCAAGGGGGTGGTTTCCCTTGGGAAGCACCCCCTTGTTAGATCTAAAGAAACTTTCTATAAGAGAAATTGGCCCACGTATATCGCCGTCTCATTCTATCTTGCTTATTCTTTAACATATAACTTAATTACGATTTAAATTAATAACTAACGGAGTTAACTCACTTATAAACTATATTTAATGACCGTTTGTTCGTTAAAATAATAACCAAAGAACATTGTTTTGTATACGAAAAAGTTATATTAAACATTTATTAATTAAAAGAATATAGGTTATAGCTACAAAACTTCCTCCTTTGTAAATAAATTCTCTGTTGTAAGGTCATTCAAACAATTCTTTAATAGTTTTTAGCCGGGAGCACAACCTTCTAAATCATAAAATTATTTAATCTTCCGATTGTTTTTTCGTTATACTAAACTAAAATTGCAATTGTTTTTATATTCTGACAGTATAATAACCTTTAGAAACAAATATTAATAAATGTAACAACACAGAATAGAGAATATTTAGAAATTCGCTTCTAAATATTCTTTATTCTTTTCTATTCTTTATTTTTTCTATACTCTTACTCTTTTCTATAGAAAATATTTTTTATCTGAGATTTTTCAGTCATTTTATTAATGAATGTTCAAATTTAACACTCAGGTGAATTGAAAAACGAAAGTACAGGGTATACCAATTGTATGCTACCATTTTAAATTATTGTAATTATGTTAATTATTATGAGAAAAGTATGCCACGTACACAGGTCGATAGAATAAACGTTTGAATTTCATCTCCCATCTTCATTCCAACGTTTTGTTGTCTGCTTCCTCCAGAAACAATTAACTAAAATGGCGAACTCCGCAATAGAGAAAGCATTTCATATTCTGCGTGTCGCAAAGTCGAAATCACTCATCACTTTGCAATAAGTGTAATCTGCAGAAGCTGTAGAATTATGGCTACTTGTAAAGCTCCCATTTACACAGTTAATTAAGTTAAAAAAAAAATATATATATTAATTTTAATTTTTCAGAGAAGTTTAAGCTCTCTTAGGAAGCTAGATTTTACTTACTCCATAGTTCCTATTTTGTAAAAAAAATCCTGTTGTAACACAGAATTTATTACAAATATGAATGATACTAAATGAATTTACTAATTTTTTCAATCCAGATTACATGCAGTTGACACTTTTTTCACTATACAAATAATTTTAGAGGGAAAAAGTACACACTCATTCTTCTTGAGTTTGTTGCAACATTATGCCAATGTTTGTGTACATTTTAACACTTAAAATTTTTGCTGAGTATATTTTAAATTTATTTATTTTAATTCTTTCAATTAATTCATGTGTAATTTTAATCCCAATTCAAAATTTTACTGAATTTAACTGCGCAGGAGACAGGATTAAATTTTTAATGATGTTTTTTACTTTGTCAGTTAAGGTATTGGCCTATTGCTTTGGGGATCCAGAATCAAATCTAGGCAAGCAACTCTAAAAATTCTTTATGGGCAGTCCATTTCAGTTATGTTGGGCTTCATCCCTCACCACTTAGCTGCCTCTGTTGTGTGCCTGGCCAAACCAACAGTGGGTAAGGAAAAAGGCTTTCTTAGTGTCTACAGGGGATATTCCCAAAAAAGTTCGTAAGTTAAAATATCACAATTACATATCTATGAATGTAGTTAAGTTGAAAACGTCACTGTAATTTCAGTATGGTTTAACTGATATATTGTATATTTCAAGTTAAACTTTATTTATAGTTTTAATTAGTGTGTGGATGGAATATTATATTCAGTATTTGTGTATATTTGGTCACAAAGTAAGTACAGTATTTGGTATTTAGACCAAATACGTCCTCAAATTTGGTTGAATAATCTCATTTTAGTTGGGAGAGAGGAAGAAAAAATAGAATGAAAATAACATTTAAAATCGTGTATATTTAAAAGTACTGTTATTTATTTCTTTTCCAAAACAAATATAACTTTAATAAATAATCTTAAGCAATTATTATTTATTAATAATANAAATCCAGAAGGTGGCGTCTGCATTCGAGATGAGGGATGAATTGTGTAGGTGTGCGATGTGAGTTCGCGGGGTTATTTTGTGCCGGTATTTCCAGTTTATATATTTTACTGTACTTAAAATAGAAATTTAAAATGTGTTTTAAAGTGTTTTGCTGCGGTTATTTAGTTTCTGCTTCGTCCGTTTGATAATTTTTACCAATTCTTTAGGTAAGTGTATAAGTACCAGGATTTGTTTCTTGTTCGTAACTCCAAGGACGTGATATCACGCTGTTATTTTGAAGTATCCTAATAATATATAAGAAAAGTTTGACTTTTTTCCTCTCTCTCTTCGCTATTAATAATGTAAATCAATGCAGTTATAAGAATTTTCATTGATGTGACATGTATTTACTCCATGTGTGATTCCTGAATAAGAATCTATTTAGAAATCATAATTAAATTCTTTAATTCAGCACTGAGTGCATTAATGCATTAAAACTCTAATTCAAGATCCAGGACAAATCTTGTGATTAGGAATGTATGATCACTCTGTACGTACTGTACATTATTGTAAAGTTTGACCATAAGTTTCTATCTGTGAGATCGGCTGCATTCAACAGACTCAACAGTTGTAACTGAGCAAATCTGTAGCTGTCACATAGCAACCTGGATCTGCTGAATGACGAGTGACGTTGCATTGGAACGAAATGCCTCGTTGGTCAGTTTCGGGTAGCATAAATGAAAGACGCTACCGAATGTGACATCAAAACGCCAAATGTGTTCTGAAAGAGCTCTGCTGTAGAGGGTGTTTGGTAGAAAAATACTCAACAGCTCTGGAACTGTTGTCTGCTGAATGCAGCCATTGTGTCCTGGGTCTTGGACTAGAGACTATCCCAATGACAAATTTAGGAAATGATGGATTGTAAATGATGATGACAAAATTCATCCTTGAAATCCAGGTGTAATAGTGTGTCATTATTACTCAAGTATTGTAAAAGAAAATTCCTAATTACGGTATATTTTATTATAGTTGAAAGTCTAAAAACAGCTGCTGGTCATCTAACAACCACCAACTGTTAATGGAGATGATTTTTTGATGTAGGACAAAATTGAAATTTGTATGGAAAATGAGATTTTATAGATAGTTTCTAACTAGTATACATAGAGACTCTGTGATCAATCTCTAGAGACTCTGTGATCAATCTCTAGAATATAATCGTCCAAACGATCGCAAGCAGCCGAATTCTACAAAGTGGGTGTTAGCAATTAGTGCCAAAATATGACACGTGCCTTAATTCGCATGGTGAATATGTCAAAAAGTAGTTTAAGGTATGTAGTAGGGTTTCTGAAACGGGATCCCGGTTGTTTTTTTAACCCGGGAAATATCCTGGAAAATTTTTCTTATCCCGGGAAATCCCGCAAATTTCTTAAAAATTCAATTTTTTTCTTATTTTGTGTTAAGGTTGAGGAGTTTTGCAAATAGAAAGCATAATTAACTCATTCACTGCCAGAATACATTTGTATTTATTAATTTTAAACCTACCTATTAGTTTTTTTAAATTTTTGCTCGTTATAGCATGTCACAAATGGTCAATAATCAATATATAGCTTATTTGTGGCATGACTATAAAAATTCTTTACTTGTCGGAACCTGTAATATCTGGAATAATTGTGCTTACGCTGTCTTGAGTTTTAACCATGCCCAGTAGCTTCAATAAATGCCTGACGCCAGATTGTGCAAATTGGGCAAGGATACAAACGAGTACAAAGTCTGCAAGTATGAAGTTTTTCTTCATAAACCTGATTATTAAAGCCAAATGAATTGCCGAATTATCGAGCTCTAAGCTTGATGCCGCTATTAAAGCAGCCAAGGTAGACAAATCAAGAATACTAGAGAGCGAAAGAAGTACTACAATCTCGAAAACGAACTCGAAAGCTTCCAGGCTACAGGTGAAAAAACACATAATATCTGTCTTCTCTTAAATGCATTAAACACTATTCCAATCACATCAATTGAATCGGAAAGGGCATTCTCGGTGGCAAGACTTTTCATTACTAAAATAAGAATTAGAGTGAGTTATCGGAGTATTGACCATCTTTGCTTTTTAAAATCTTATAAAAGTTTGCAATATTTTGTATTATATTTTATTTAAAAAACGAAAATTACCTTCTAAATTAGAAGTTCATTTTTTTAATTTTTAACTCAATTCAAAACATTTTTTTTGTTGTTGTTGTATGCAGTTTCCAGCAAACTTTAATTAATTTTTTTCTATTTGTGAAAATTTCTACGTTATTTAAAGGTAATTTTTATTATAGGCCTATAGACCTAACACAGCATTATTAATATGATTTTGGAGGTTACAAAACTTTAAAATTACTTTAAAAAATGGAAAATAATTATATCATTTGATTTCAAGATATTTTGTATACCTTAAAAATAATTAATTCTATCCCGGGATTTCCCGGGATCCCGGGAAACAGTTCACTTTTATCCCGGGATCCCGGGACAAGCAAAATACCGGGAAATGAGAAACCCTAGTATGTAGATTTTTCTGTAATAAAATACAAATGAAAACAAATTGCAAATCTTTTTTAATATCCAAATGGCATGTACTTTCTGGACGAGCTTAGTATATTAAAGCTCATCCAGAAATGAGCATCATTCTTGTTACATTGATTAAAATACTAACAAGATCCCATAATTTTTATAGAAAACAAAGAAAATCCTAGGTCAAGGTGGCAGCCTACTGCTCTGGGGGACCCGGGTTCGAATCCAAACGGGTTGTAAAATCCCCAAGAATTTTTCGGGGGGGTGGTCCGTTCAGATATGTTGGGCCCTGTTCCTCACCACCCGGCAACCCCATTGTGGGCCTGGCCGAACCCATAATGGGCTTGCAAAAAGAGGCCCTCTTAGTGCCCACAGGGCGGAAAGAGTTAAAAAAAAAAAAAGTACTGAATTTTAAAAATTTTTTGATGATATTGATTTTCAATAACTAAGCTATTACACAAAATAAAAAGTTAAAAGCAGAAGTGTGCTTGTATTTGTTTATAAAATCCAAAAGTAAAAGTTAGCAAAGTTAAGAATTAATATTTTTATAAATAAAAAAAATAATAAAAAGACATGGCCAACGTTAATTACATTTAATAAATATATAAAAAATACGACATTTTCACAAAGGTAAAAACCTTGCTTCTGTCAATTTTTGTGAATTGTCTTAAGGATCGCTGATGGTGTAGAAACGAAACGGCGGAAAGATTGACAGAAGCAAGGTTTTTACCTTTTTAAAATTGTTGTATTTTTTTGTATATTTATTAAATATTTTTAAAGTTTCTTCATAACAGAAAATTATATACTAAAGTAGGATTACTAATTAGTATTTTTTATTTTAGTATGTTTTTTGAAATCAAGTACGGTATTTTACATCTGTTGTACAGGATGTTCATAAATGTTTACCCTGATTTCAAAATTAAATATTAATTATATTTATGCTGGTAACATTTTTTTTTTTTTTTTTTTTATTACAAGTCTACTAGGGAACCCATGAAGTTTCTGTACAGTTGTGTTATTCAACACTTGCCACAAGGAGCACTGTGTGAGCTATATCGTAAAAATGGCTTCCCCCAGGAGAAAGCTCAATGTGTTGTGTGGCTAGCAGAAACCAAATCACCGATTACTGTGCAGCGAAAGTTTAGGTCCCATTATGGAAAGAAAGCACCTGATATCAAGTTAATCAAAACATGGATGGAAACTTCTTTAGCAACAGGGTTGGTTCAGAAACGGACAAGCACTGCATTCACGAGGTTGCCACTGAAATCTATTAGACAAGCTTTGCGGAGCTGCAAGTGCCAAAGAGTACAGTGAATAAAGAGGTTTGCAAACGTCTTAAATTGTATGTGTACAAGGTCCAAATTTTTCAGGCATTACAACCAGATGATCGTCCAAAATGTGAACAATTTGCTTAGGTTCAAAAATTTGTAAGGTTCAAAACTTAATGAGTGGTATAATGCATGTTTCATTTACTGTATCCAATTAAGAGTTACATTGTTTTGTTATTAGGGTATAAACATTTATGGACACCCTGTATAATATATTAAAAACATTTTAAAAGAATTTAATTGGAATGAAAATACATAATTTATTGTTCAAATGAGAACAGATGGAAACTTGAAACATTAAAAGTTATTTTCGCTTCAAAGTTTTTTTTTTTCTTTTTAAAATTTGGATTTTTATATTTCAAGATATGAAGAAACATATATTAATTTTTCTGAATAAATTTGGATTTTTCTGAAATATATTTGGATTTTCTTTGTTTTCTATAAACATATGGGATCTTGTTAGTATTTCAATCAGTGTAACAAGAATGACGCTTATTTACTTTTCTAAACAATAATATTAATATTTTAAATACAACCTGAAATATCTGTCAAATTCCACTTTGGAATTTCATATGAATCCAGTATTCAATCCTATAACTTTGCAATTTGTATCAAATAATCAGCATTAAGGCATATAAATTTTAATAAACAAAATAGATTTCAGTACAACAAATAAGTTATTCTTATTGCATATCTGTTGTAATGCAGAATTTATTACAAATATGAATGATACCAAATGAAAATAAAATAATTTATTCTAAAATCAGCAATAAAATGTATAATTTCAAATAGAATTTTNCCCTTGTTAGATCTAAAGAAACTTTCTATAAGAGAAATTGGCCCACGTATATCGCCGTCTCATTCTATCTTGCTTATTCTTTAACATATAACTTAATTACGATTTAAATTAATAACTAACGGAGTTAACTCACTTATAAACTATATTTAATGACCGTTTGTTCGTTAAAATAATAACCAAAGAACATTGTTTTGTATACGAAAAAGTTATATTAAACATTTATTAATTAAAAGAATATAGGTTATAGCTACAAAACTTCCTCCTTTGTAAATAAATTCTCTGTTGTAAGGTCATTCAAACAATTCTTTAATAGTTTTTAGCCGGGAGCACAACCTTCTAAATCATAAAATTATTTAATCTTCCGATTGTTTTTTCGTTATACTAAACTAAAATTGCAATTGTTTTTATATTCTGACAGTATAATAACCTTTAGAAACAAATATTAATAAATGTAACAACACAGAATAGAGAATATTTAGAAATTCGCTTCTAAATATTCTTTATTCTTTTCTATTCTTTATTTTTTCTATACTCTTACTCTTTTCTATAGAAAATATTTTTTATCTGAGATTTTTCAGTCATTTTATTAATGAATGTTCAAATTTAACACTCAGGTGAATTGAAAAACGAAAGTACAGGGTATACCAATTGTATGCTACCATTTTAAATTATTGTAATTATGTTAATTATTATGAGAAAAGTATGCCACGTACACAGGTCGATAGAATAAACGTTTGAATTTCATCTCCCATCTTCATTCCAACGTTTTGTTGTCTGCTTCCTCCAGAAACAATTAACTAAAATGGCGAACTCCGCAATAGAGAAAGCATTTCATATTCTGCGTGTCGCAAAGTCGAAATCACTCATCACTTTGCAATAAGTGTAATCTGCAGAAGCTGTAGAATTATGGCTACTTGTAAAGCTCCCATTTACACAGTTAATTAAGTTAAAAAAAAAATATATATATTAATTTTAATTTTTCAGAGAAGTTTAAGCTCTCTTAGGAAGCTAGATTTTACTTACTCCATAGTTCCTATTTTGTAAAAAAAAATCCTGTTGTAACACAGAATTTATTACAAATATGAATGATACTAAATGAATTTACTAATTTTTTCAATCCAGATTACATGCAGTTGACACTTTTTTCACTATACAAATAATTTTAGAGGGAAAAAGTACACACTCATTCTTCTTGAGTTTGTTGCAACATTATGCCAATGTTTGTGTACATTTTAACACTTAAAATTTTTGCTGAGTATATTTTAAATTTATTTATTTTAATTCTTTCAATTAATTCATGTGTAATTTTAATCCCAATTCAAAATTTTACTGAATTTAACTGCGCAGGAGACAGGATTAAATTTTTAATGATGTTTTTTACTTTGTCAGTTAAGGTATTGGCCTATTGCTTTGGGGATCCAGAATCAAATCTAGGCAAGCAACTCTAAAAATTCTTTATGGGCAGTCCATTTCAGTTATGTTGGGCTTCATCCCTCACCACTTAGCTGCCTCTGTTGTGTGCCTGGCCAAACCAACAGTGGGTAAGGAAAAAGGCTTTCTTAGTGTCTACAGGGGATATTCCCAAAAAAGTTCGTAAGTTAAAATATCACAATTACATATCTATGAATGTAGTTAAGTTGAAAACGTCACTGTAATTTCAGTATGGTTTAACTGATATATTGTATATTTCAAGTTAAACTTTATTTATAGTTTTAATTAGTGTGTGGATGGAATATTATATTCAGTATTTGTGTATATTTGGTCACAAAGTAAGTACAGTATTTGGTATTTAGACCAAATACGTCCTCAAATTTGGTTGAATAATCTCATTTTAGTTGGGAGAGAGGAAGAAAAAATAGAATGAAAATAACATTTAAAATCGTGTATATTTAAAAGTACTGTTATTTATTTCTTTTCCAAAACAAATATAACTTTAATAAATAATCTTAAGCAATTATTATTTATTAATAATAACAAATTAGAATGATAAGTTGTAGTGAGAAACATTAATGCTTCTGCATTCATAAGAAATAAATGATTTTGTTGGTCAGTGTAAATATTTGCAGCTTCACTGAATTTACTGTATATACCTCCAAAAAAATGACGACACAATTCAAGATTTGATATTTTTATTTTTCATTACATAATAATAAATTTTTAGTAACAAAAACATATATAAGCTTTATAATTGAACAGAAGACACTGCTTTCCGTCTTATTCTAAGGGTTAGAGTCTAAGCTTTGGCATCTTAGGCAGTTCCAAATAAATCAGTTGATATATGGTCAAATATTTGGTATCAGAAAAGCAAAGATATTCGGCAACAATAATATCTGAATAATTATTCGGTATTTGGCCAAAAACCTGTATTCGGTTTGCCCCAGTTTTTATATTAATTTTTACAAAAACTAATTATTTTAACAAAAGATGGCAGTCTAGCCACTCTTCATTACAATGCTTTTAAGATAATGATAATAGCATTTAATTCAGCCAACCTTTAGACCAATCCATGTACTATTATCATTAGTTTAATTATAGTTAAAAAATCTAGCAGTTGACAGTTGACTATTGTTCTATTAATTCAGAATTTCTGTATTATTTTCTGTATACTAAGTTATACTTGAAATACTATTTATTAAATTTCCAGAATTTATTTCAGGAATTGTTTTTATAATTATATATTAAACCAGATGTCCTGTTTATATAAAAGATTATTATTATTTATCATTTAATTCTTCCTTTCAGCATACAATTCGTAACAGAAAAAAATAAAATAAGAATTAACATTTAATTAAAAATCTTTGTTTAATTGCTATATATTTTTTTATTTATTAGATAATTGCATTAAAAACAATTACACAGAAAGTGATGATCTCTTGGTATTGTTTACATTGCACATAGAAATCTTACTCATAAAAAAATTTACTTTTAAACTCAGCATTGTATTACAATTATTATGTCAGTCAAATATTACCTTATGGGTTTCTGGCTCCATATTATCATCTTAATAAATGCTTATTTCGGGTAACCAATTGTTTAAATTTATCATTTTTGTCCTGTTTTTGACAGTTTCAGTTTCATAATGAATATTCCTATTGGTTTGAACAATGGCTTGTTCAAATCAAATTCAAACTCTCATACCGTTTTTGACAGATTGAATGATGTTTGGAAGTAGTTAAAAAGGCCAGGAATCTATGCAATTGAATTAAGCAAAGAGAGTAAATTAATTTTTCTACATATAATCTACATACAGATCTGTGAATCTTAGGGTGAAAGAGCATTTTGAATCCATTACTTGATACTCCTGGAGCAATGTTTTTAATGCTGTGGGCCAAGAGAAGTAGAAGTTTCTTGGAAACAACCATTAGTATTTAGAAACTAACATGACATTAATTAAGAACATAAGAATTCTGGAGCAATGTTTCATTTACATATTAAAAAGTATCTAAACATTAATGCACAGGATTTGATAAAACTTGACATTGGATGGATGGGAGTATTGGAAACAGGAAATTGGGATAATATATTTAAATGCTTGTAGGACAGAAGAATGAAGGAGGTAAGAAAAGAGTGAAGAATTAATACTTTTAGCTGATCTAATGTTATACTGTGCATATATGTAGTTTGTTTTTACAAATTAGAATGAAAATGGGTTATTTTAAATATTATTTGATCTATTAAAAACAGTATGAAAAGTTAGTTAGAGTTTTTTTGGCGCAAGAGTCATATAGGCAAAGCTGTGCCAGTGAAAAGTTCGAATTTGGTTTGAACAGTAAGTTATATTTGTCACAAAGCTGAAACTGTCCTAAAACAGGATAACATTTCTTTATAGTAAATTTAAACAGTTGTCTACCTGAAATAAGCTTTAATACAAATAATTATGTTAGTGATTAAAATTTTTATCATTTATTTTAAAATATTTAGTTAGTGAAATCAAATAGAAAATGTTTTGAACAACAGATATTGCATTAAAATAATATTTCTACCTAATGTCGTGACTTAATTTTTAATTTTAATTAATTTATAGATTTCTGAATGTATTAAACGTGGAACAACAATGACTGAACTCCAAAAGTGCAAGTATGAAGATTTTTCTCGTTCAAATTCATTTAGTTTTTAAAAATAATACATAAATTTAATACATTTATTTAATTTAATCTTGTGTCAAATTATAAACAAGACTGAATCAGCTAAAACTAAAATAGAAAGTCAGTTTATTTGATTTGTTTATAGTTATTACTTTCCTGGCTGTTGTGTATACTGGTTTATTTGATTATGGCAATACAGGACATATGGGCAATCTGCCAAGGAGGGGAATGCCTCCCTGGAGGTCTTTTATGGGAAACTGGTTCCTATTTAGGTGTTCCTAATGTGAAGAAAACCCAGAAAATGTCACATAACCAGCCTGTTGGCGAGATCAAACCCATGATCGATCCACTGATAGTTATCAGTGTTCAGTGGTTAGTTGTCAGTTTGTGCCAACCAGGAAGTTTTATCTGCTCAGCCACTGGTGGACACTTGTGTATATAGCATGGAAAAATACTGTCAAATTTGACCCTCCATTTTGATACCTCTTGAACTCAATAAAGTCAAAACAAAAGGGGAAAAATTACATGTGTGTTGGTGTCTATTTCATTTAATATCTCAGGATGGAGTAAGGTTCAAGAAACAAAATTTGGCAAGATAACTTGTATGTAAGGGGCTTTGATGCTATTAGTGAGGTTGCGGCCAAAGTTTTAATCTCTAAAATATGAACATTGAGTACCGCATACAAGATAACAGTGCTCAACATTTGATGTTCACGTTTTAGAGATTAGAACTTCGGCCTCAACGTCACTATTAAAAGTACAGGGTCTGTTCAAAAAGTATCAGACCTTATTTTTTTCCGCGTAAACCAATGATGCGAGAGAGGCCTCCTTCGGTGGAGTTGTGGAGGGGAGACCTTATTTTTTTCCGCGTAAACCAATGATGCGAGAGAGGCCTCCTTCGGTGGAATTGTGGAGGGGACAGTCATGCACAGCCCTGAATTTTTTCCCGCCTGCAGAAAGCATCAGTCGTTGGCAATCGGCGTATGAGTGAGATCATGTAGTGCGCTCTCGTCGGATTTCACTAAGCTGGAAAATGACTGAACAACGTGAGCAGCGATATTACATCAAATTTTGCGCAAAAACCTTGGCGATACCCGAGTGTAAACCATTCGCAAGATTCAGCAGGCTTTCGGGGACGATCCTCGAGGCCAAAAAAAGCGCGGCAGGTCCGCAGCAATATCAAAGGTCATGTTGACAGTTTTTTCGACTCTCGCGGGGTGGTGTGTCATGAGTACGCACCACAAGGCCAAACCATCCCAAAGGAGTACTACCAGGAGGTAAGGACCTCCTGGTAGTACTCCTTTGGGATGGTTTGGCCGTCGTCTTTCCGATACAGTGCGATGCAAACGATGGGATCTGTGGTCGATCAAAACTTGGCAGCTCCATCGTGATAACGTACCTGAACATTTTGCGCATCTGATTCGGACTTTTGTCACCAAACACAATATTCACGTGGTTCGTCACGCTCCATACTCTCCCGACGTGGCTCCATGTGACTTTTGGCTATTTCCCAAGCTGAAAATGCCACTAAAAGGAACCTGATTTTAGTCAAGAGAAGACTTCATGCGGAATGCGACAGACCAGCTGATGGCCATTCCGAAAGATACATTCCAGCAGTGTTTCCAGCAATGGCAGGAGCACTGGGAGAAGTGTATACATTACCAAGGAGACTACTTTAAAGGGGATTAGGGTTCTGTACCTCAAAATCAATAAATGTTTATGCTTCTAACACAATAGAGTGCTATAAATTAAGACACTTGGCGGGTTTTCTCATCTTTATTTAGTTGAACTAAATAAATAAACTAAATAAAGATGAGAAAACCCGCCAAGTGTCTTAATTTATAGCACTCTATTGTGTTAGAAGCATAAACAAATTGTAAAGCACGGTTTCATATCATCAAAATCAATAAATGTATTTTTGCTGACCAAAGGTCCAATACTTTTGAACAGACCTTGTATATGTGGAGAAAGATGGATGGGAAGCCTGGTAGGAGAAGGCTGATTAAAGTCTTGGTTGAAACACTGGATGGGTATCTGAAAGAAGATGCTGAATCAGAAAGAGAATGTGAGGAAGTCTGCTAGAAGAGACGAGTGTATCTGAAGCAAAAGAGATGTGTAGAAAGTTGCTGAATGAATGATTTGTAGGATTGTAGTCTTCTTTTACCTGCTGCTTATCCTTTTTGGATTTTGAGCATGAGGATATGTATGATACTATTAAATTTTGGTGTTTATAGGTTGAGAGGTGGGAGATAGAGGATGGTCATATGTCACATTTTGAGATCAGGCTTAATGAAAATTTTATTCGTTATTGGCATTTACAGTTTTTATAAAACCGATTCATACCTTCAAAATTAAGTTATTTGCCATTTATTAATAGTTAAAAATATAAAAAGTTTAATAAAATATCATAACAGATGATACCACCAAATGTTGCCGGGAAAGTTAAGCAACTTGTTTGTAGATTTTTTGATATGTAAATTTGAAATAATCATCTATTCTTTCAAATAATTGATTATATATTTTAATAAAAAAATTTATTTTGAGTAAAATTTAATTCAAAATTGTTTTTGTTTCAGGTATTTTATAAAATGTGCTTAGTAGTTTTTATGTTGAATTATTTAAAATTTCTCAAGGAAGAGTTACAATGGATTGGCAATATATTACCATAACAGTAAGGAAGAGAAGAATGAATCGATTCTGTCTTTTACTAACTTTCACATTACTCTGCTTAATGATGCTCTTTATTAGAACTGCGGTACAAAGATATCACGACATGAGGAAGTATTTTAGACTGCAAGAATATGCCACTGAAGTGCACGACATTACAGAATCTCTGAGAGCTTTAGAAGATAGTGCAGGATCCCTAGAAGAGGAAGTTATACAATTAAAGAAAATCTCTAAAGATCTGCTACAACAACTGAATACTTCTCTATCATAACAAACAACAGAATTGACTTAGTGCTAACATTCCAAATATTTAAATGGTTAAATCTATTTATGGTAATTTGGAGGTAAGATTGTTGTGAATAAATTGATGGTTTTAAATTTTAAAACACATTAACTCAAATGCTCCAAATAATAAACAAGAAACAATGTGTTACTTAATGTAATTAATGTTTTGGTATGCTGGGTGTTAATTTAATAAAAATTTTACTGTACATAGAAATCTTTTGATATTTTCATTTAAAGAAATCATTTATGCAATAAATGCATAACATTTATTCTATTAATACTTCCAGAGCACTTTATATATATATATAAATGAGGATGTTTGTTTGTTCGCTATGCACATCTAGGCTGTTTGACGAATTACTATGAAACTGCATTTACATTAACATACTTCTAACTTAATGTCATAAATCACCGCAAAATATTGATTGGATGCTTCACATGTCTTCATGGAATTCATCTCCCTCAGCAGATCACTCACGTGTCGCAAACTGAACTAATTTTAATAATTTTTCTATAAATGCAATATTCATGAGGACATAACACTTTCCTATGTAATTTATACAATCTGTTGCAAAAATATAAACACTTTATTATCACATAAAAGCAATTACTGTATTTACTCCATATAAGACTATCTCGCTTACAGGACAAGGTGTGACTTTAAAGATCAAAATAAAGAAAATTAGATTTATTAATATAACTTTAATTTTATTTCCTTTAATCACAAATAAAATATTATCAAATGCATGTATTAAGGCAAACATGGTTGTTTGCCTTAATATGTGATGAATGGAAAACAAAACCGAAAGATTATAATGTGCATGACCGGAAAAAGTTTATTTTTAATCATTTAGAATGTGCTAATGTTCATTAAAAATAACAATTTATCTAATATGAAATAACTACATTTATAATCATTGCTAAATGACCTGTATTTCAGTTAATGATTTTATAAATAACCAGAAACCATTTTCTGCAGACAAATGAGATGCAACGTGGTTTTTAATTGATGGACGTAGGATTAAACCAATAAACAAAGGGAGGTGTGTCTTAATTTGTTTACAGAAGTGGCAACTTACGATAAATAGATTATAGACCTATAATGCAGCATGAATTACACATGGTTCACAGAAATTATTGCAAAAAATCCTTTGCTTACGTGTATAGGACAACCTAGATTTCTGAAGCAGTGAAAAATGAATGAAAACCTCATCTTTTATATGAGTAAATACAGTATTCTTGCATTTTTAGAAGATTTTTTTTTTATTTAAAAAGTCATATGAAGTCTTTTGGGTGTTAAGGTTAGCAACTATGATCACATGCGGAGACATCACAACCTATCCAACACGGATCACTTTTCAAATATTAATAATTGACCATCCTCTCCTCCAGCAGGAGGTCAATGACTACTTTTGGTCAAAATACTTCAACCCCATTCTGCAACAGTCTCTTTTTTCTATCAGACCAGTGTGATATGGTGGCATTCAAATAGGAAAATTACATAATACAAAGTTACCAACAAGCAGAAAATGTGTTTTAGGAAGTTTTCAAGGATGCAAAGTTTAAATATTTGGTCCATTTTTTGCAAAATTTAATTCATTGTCAGATTACCATTTGATATTTGGCTGTAAATGGAACAATTTGTTAAGAACTTATATTAGAAAAAAATTCTGTCTACTTGACCGATGAAATTGTGCCATTTCTTACCATCCGAATATTGCAATAAACGTGATAATGGTAGGCTAAAATAACCAAAAACGCTTTATACGGTTTGTTTTAATTTAATTAATGTTTCTTATATTATAGTATTTGATTTATATAACAAAGGTTATCTTATGTAAGGGTTTATCACATCAAGTAACCAATCTAACATATTTTAAAAATTTTTTATTCCTCTACATAATTTAAAAAATTTTTACAATTAAATCAAAATTGTGTAAAAAGAAATACAGTTTAAAAACAGAATTGGATGTAATTCAGAATTAATAACATTTTAAAACTAAAGCTTACAATTTACCTAGAATATCATAACGTCAAATATTTATACTGGTGATTCTTACTTTTGGACACAATGCATTCCCAAAAATATGTACAAAAGTCAAGCAGTAGAGTTATAATGGACTAACATTATAAAAATTACAGTTGGAAAGTTTTGCATTTTTACAGTAAAATTATCATCGTTTTAGATGACAATTTATGAATTGATCTTAATGATGTATATTTTAACATACTTTGAATATTAATGTTAAAAGACAGTTCTTGTTCAGTTTTAATTAACATCATACAAAACAACTGAAATTCTATTATAATGTTTTTAAGTAGATTACAATGGTAACATCTGAATACTAAAAGAATGGTATTAAACAAATTTGAAACCTTTGGAGATTTACAAGTAATATACAAGTTAAAAAACACCTCTATTTAAGCTGAAACTAATTTTAGCTTAAATAACACCTTAAATAGTCTCAACAATAATTTAATTTATTTAAATGAATGTTTTCTGTCTTTTCATAGGTCTATGTCAGGTTTAACAAGAAGTTTTGAACTGTAACTTTTAATTGACATTATAACAGTTTTTTAAGGTTGAAATATGGGTTGAAAATGTTTAAATAAATTAAAGTATTCCTGAAAAGAGTATTTAAGGTGTTTAAGCTACTGTAATATATAAGTATTAACTATATATAATGTATATATAACTGCATATTATAAATAGTTATACATTAGTTATATATACATAGGTCTTCCAAAAAGAATGCTAATTATCTGAGAATGTTTAATGTGTGCATCTTGCATCACATGGCATACATTCAACTGATACTCCTATTCTTCCTACACTTGCTACTACATATGCATTGTCACTCCTTCCATACCAGCAACAATTCTACAACTCCCACAGATCTACAACCCATCACAATGCCAGGCTGCAAGTTTTAATTTAAAATATATTCTCTCCACTTCAAATTAGTAATGGCTTGTCCCTGTACATTGTACTTTTCTGTTAGGTAACTGGGGCACCACTCCATTGCTAACTCCTTTTGAGGGAAATTTTTGAATTGAACCAATCTTTTGAGGACAAAAAGTGGTCACAGACTATCTGCTGGTTAATAAGAGAATGATTTTTAGAAAATTTAGTTATATATATATTTATAAAGAATGTGCGTGAATTTATATTCAGGGTTGTAACCACTTCACGGATGCACCTACAGTAATTATATGTATGTATGTACTGTACCTGTACGTTAAAATTAGTATTTTAGTACGTAATTTCCGCGGTAACTAGCTTAAAAGTATTGCATAACACAGAATAATTTAAATTAATTTATTGGCGCAAATATTGAGTATTCACAGAAAGCAAAGGAGTAAACAAGTTGTTTTCAAAAGACAATTGTTGCTTCTGAAGAAATTTCTTTCTGTGTCTCATAAGTGAAACCATGTCGTATATATCGTCGTCCCCGGACATCCACCATTTATTAGGGGAAAACTGTTTTCTCTTTTTAAAAATTTGCCACAATTTCCAAGGCAAAATAACGCATACGATACATCCCGCCAACATAGAAATAGCACAACACACGACGATCAAGAAGAGCACGTCTTTACGCAAGAGATTCAGCTCGCATTTACATCCGGAAGATGTCGAAGATTCGGAAAACACTTCCATTGATGTACTTCTGGTGTTGTTAGAGTCTTTAGTTAGATCTGTCTTATAAAGTTTAGAGTTTAAGGTAGGACTTAGGTGCCTGTTTTTCAATATAACGGAGCGTTTTACTCTTCTTTCGCGGTTTGTAAGTGATGATTCGATTTTATTATTATATAAATCTTCCGCAACGTCTTCGGTTGTAATATTTTCTGAAAAAATAAAATAATTAAATTACAAACGTCAAAATAAAGTTTCCTAATTCCTAACCCAGATGCAAAAGTGCGATTGCAAAACGGAACGGGAAGTCGCTTAAAAAACGGACAGGAAATTATAAACACGTATAACAAAATAAATATTTATAGTTAATAAATTTAATAGTTATAGTTATAAATAACAATTCTTTAAAGAAATGTGCGGTAGAAATCGGAGTTTGGAAATAAAACAGAGGAAAAATATCGCCATTTTGTAGCTAAATTAATTGCAATGGTTTAAAATATAAATATGTTAAATTATATACAATATAAATAGATGATGAAGCGGCTCTCGTGTATTTCTAATAGGCAGTATATAACTTCTTTCGTGAAAATATTTGGCCACCCCTATTATATAAGATGACCCAAAAGTCAAATTACGATCGCAAATACTAAATTGCGGTATTATTCAATGGTTACTTACAAACTGCAAAATTGCTCAAAAAAGTGGTCTTGTTTAATATAGAAATTGCGATGCTCGCTTATTACTGAATTATTTGAAAACTATACGGTTAACTGACTTTTGGATACATAAACTTTTTAGAGAGAGTACAAAATTAAATGAAATTTACCTTTAATATTGTCGTACTTAGTTTCTAAACGGATTAACCAGAATAATAATAATCCAATAAATAATGCTGTTGCGATTTTAGGTAAAACGCGGTTAGCCTCTATCATACTCTATGGTTGTAGCGTTCTAAGTCCTATAGGAAGTTATACAATTCTGATGTCTATGATTATATTATTCTATATATTTTATAAATGCTAATTGATAGTATTGTTACGAAATTTCGCATTTTAATAATTNCTGTATGATCTTTTTTATTCATATAAAATTCTATTTTACTATCTCATCCCGGAATTTCCTGGGATCCTGGGAAAAGAAATTATTTTTCCCGTAATCCCGCTGGAGACAAATTTCCCGGGAAATGAGAAACCCTAGTGAGAATTATATATTTCTAGTATTAAAATTGTTAAACAATGATTACCACAATTTTTTTTTTCACAAGGGTTTGTTGTGTTAAGAAATGTAATTAAATAACTGAAGCATAAATTCTTTTTTTTTTTGTATAAATTACAATTGTGTACAGTTGGATTAAATATTTGGAACTGGTTTCTGCATAGGAAATTTAACTTCTTAACCACAATTTTCTATTGTGTTTTATATATATACATCCTTTTGATTAATTTATATTAATATATTCAATATTATGTGTAGTATTTATTTACTTTTACTGTATAAATGCTAAGGTGATAAAAAATATTTAAAAAAATTAATACTAGATATAACTTTCCTTTTAGTAAAAATTACATTTTTTGGGGCAAAGTTAAAAAACCCAAAATGTCTTTTGGTTTGTGGAGTGATAAAACACAGAAGGGAGAAGATAAAACACTCGGGTGATAAAACACAGAAGTCTCTGCTATGCTTGGAAGATGGATCTGTGCATTGAAAATAGAATAAAATAAAATAGTTTTTATAATAATAATGAAATAATAAAATTTTGGTTACCAAACAGATTATTTAATCAGAAATATTTATTGACCATGTCTAAATGTATATACAAAAAACATGTATATATATATACAGGGTGTTCGGAAATTCCTGTTACAAACTTCTAGGACTTGTAGAGGGGAGTGAGTTCATAATACTGTATTTTGATTAGGAACCAATGTACGACAGTTTCATTTCAGATGTTTAACTCTTCCTCTTCTGCTGAGGGAAAGAGAAAAGTCTCAGAGTTGCTTGTCTTGGTATGCAATAGGTAGACAGGATGACAGGTGGTTGCCACATCAAGCCGCTGTTGTAATGCATCAGTACTGTTTCATACGGTACAGTATGCTGGGTTCTGTTTTGTTTTGGAATAAAGTAAACACGTAAAGTTTAAGTATTAATAAAAACAAATGTGCTTAAGTGATAAATGGATGTTTCGTTATGTTTCCTTTTGAATAGTTACCTAATTGCGCTGCGTCATGGCTAATTCAAATTCCTCAAGCAGAAGTGGAAGAGTTAAACATCTGAATTGAAACCGTGGATTCCTAATCAAAATATTATGTACTCACTCCCCTCTACAAGTCCTAGAAGTTTGTAACAGGAATTTCTGACACCCTGTATAATAATAATCTCTTTTCTCTTTCATATTCAAAACACCTGGCAGATATCACATTGTGTCAACACTGGCCTTTTGCCATTGCAATGCTTTGTTTTAATTATACAGTTGGATTTCCTTGGTCTGCATCGGTTGATTTTATTATTTATGATATTAATAAAGTAAAATAGCTAAAGATATTCTTCAATTTAATTTCTGTAAAATTTTATTTTTTAGTTCCATTTTTTCACGCCATGTTTAATACGTGCCGCTACGTTGGCCACGTCAAAGATCAGCGGCTAAAGCAAATATTTTAACATCATATAAGTTTATAATGAATTTATTCCGTTTAGCGGGCGACTTATCGCATTTATTAGCAATCATAATACTTCTTTTGAAAATATGGAGGACAAGATCTTGTTCGGGTAAATAGAAAACAAGTTTATTGACTATTTATACTATAAACTCGCACTCAACGTAACGCCGGTAACATCGTGTTGTATCGATATTGCTTATTGGTCCACGTTGGTGTGTTTTCCTTTTGATAACCAATCTGAATTTTGGATAATTACATGAAATTGATTCATTTCTTTTAAGATTTGTGTGAAATTTACAAGATAAAATTATTACAATGGCGATTATCACATGGTATTATTTAATAAAATTTCGGTAAATTTCATCTGACACGTCATCGTTAAGGCAACGTGGTTTTTTTTTTTTTAAATTTCAAATCAAATATTTAACGTTTGCTTATATTTTAATGTTATTTGCATGAAAAGTAATAGAAGATTTACATGTATTTACATAATTTCATATGCTTTATAGAACACATACCACATTTTATCAATTGTAATATAGATTAGGGGTTGTTATTCTATAAAATACAGAAATTATAAAGAATTGTATGGTGAGAATTAGGGTTTCTTTCCCGGGATCCCGTTTTCCCGGGATTCCTGCCGTTTATTCCCTACGAGAAAAATCCCGGGAAATTTTATTTTCCCGGGAAATCTCGCATTTCAATAATAATTTATCATGTCAGGTTTTCTTTCTATTATTTATTATACGAAAAGTTGCATCTTGAAGACTCATCTAAGAGAGAAATTTTGAGGTTTCATGTTGCATATTATTACCTATGTTTTACAAGTTTCTACTTGTGTACTGATACTGGTATCAGTCTCAGACTGATACCGTATACTATCGATGTAACAGACTGAAGAGGGGCGAAAGCCCGAAACGCGTTTCTGTATGAATTAAAAGTAGATGATGGAATTATTTGCCAAGTGTCGATAAATGCACCAAGTCGTGACATAGAATTAGAAGAAACAAGAAAAAGAAGACACGGTTTCGACAAATAACTAAAGTTTCTACTTGTTAGTTCATGTAATATCTATGTATTGTGTTTGCGCACCATTGAACAGCGAAGCACTCGCTGAAATTAAAAATCACTCATCGCACTTTAGTTTATTTTTTATTATATCTTTAGAAATAAAATGGTATTTTTTTTCGTAATCATTAAAACTCCCAATGAAACGCTTTATTTTACTTTCATCTTATAATGTAGGAGAACATAAATTAATTGAGCCTAACGTGTCCGTATGGGTGTAATTGGCCCTACACCTTTAGTTACTTACTAGAAAATAAATTAAATTATTCAAATATATGATATTTCTGTATGATCTTTTTTATTCATATAAAATTCTATTTTACTATCTCATCCCGGAATTTCCTGGGATCCTGGGAAAAGAAATTATTTTTCCCGTAATCCCGCTGGAGACAAATTTCCCGGGAAATGAGAAACCCTAGTGAGAATTATATATTTCTAGTATTAAAATTGTTAAACAATGATTACCACAATTTTTTTTTTCACAAGGGTTTGTTGTGTTAAGAAATGTAATTAAATAACTGAAGCATAAATTCTTTTTTTTTTTGTATAAATTACAATTGTGTACAGTTGGATTAAATATTTGGAACTGGTTTCTGCATAGGAAATTTAACTTCTTAACCACAATTTTCTATTGTGTTTTATATATATACATCCTTTTGATTAATTTATATTAATATATTCAATATTATGTGTAGTATTTATTTACTTTTACTGTATAAATGCTAAGGTGATAAAAAATATTTAAAAAAATTAATACTAGATATAACTTTCCTTTTAGTAAAAATTACATTTTTTGGGGCAAAGTTAAAAAACCCAAAATGTCTTTTGGTTTGTGGAGTGATAAAACACAGAAGGGAGAAGATAAAACACTCGGGTGATAAAACACAGAAGTCTCTGCTATGCTTGGAAGATGGATCTGTGCATTGAAAATAGAATAAAATAAAATAGTTTTTATAATAATAATGAAATAATAAAATTTTGGTTACCAAACAGATTATTTAATCAGAAATATTTATTGACCATGTCTAAATGTATATACAAAAAACATGTATATATATATACAGGGTGTTCGGAAATTCCTGTTACAAACTTCTAGGACTTGTAGAGGGGAGTGAGTTCATAATACTGTATTTTGATTAGGAACCAATGTACGACAGTTTCATTTCAGATGTTTAACTCTTCCTCTTCTGCTGAGGGAAAGAGAAAAGTCTCAGAGTTGCTTGTCTTGGTATGCAATAGGTAGACAGGATGACAGGTGGTTGCCACATCAAGCCGCTGTTGTAATGCATCAGTACTGTTTCATACGGTACAGTATGCTGGGTTCTGTTTTGTTTTGGAATAAAGTAAACACGTAAAGTTTAAGTATTAATAAAAACAAATGTGCTTAAGTGATAAATGGATGTTTCGTTATGTTTCCTTTTGAATAGTTACCTAATTGCGCTGCGTCATGGCTAATTCAAATTCCTCAAGCAGAAGTGGAAGAGTTAAACATCTGAATTGAAACCGTGGATTCCTAATCAAAATATTATGTACTCACTCCCCTCTACAAGTCCTAGAAGTTTGTAACAGGAATTTCTGACACCCTGTATAATAATAATCTCTCTTCTCTTTCATATTCAAAACACCTGTCAGATATCACATTGTGTCAACACTGGCCTTTTGCCATTGCAATGCTTTGTTTTAATTATACAGTTGGATTTCCTTGGTCTGCATCGGTTGAGTCCGCTGTCAGTTGTCTGCCAAAACGGTCGTATTCGTTGTCGGGACAGACACTCTGCATAACTGTCTGAGACATTCCACGGGAAGGTCCCGAAGTCGGTCCGACCAAACATTCCTAGGGGAGACTAGACAAGGAGTCTCGAGGAGTCCAAAGCGGGACTAGGCAAGAGTGTCTCACTCCTACCTAGTCTTGCTTAACACTCTAAGTAGAACAGGTCTAGTCCTCAATGTCAATATTTCACCCAAAGTTATGGATCTGTCTTAATATGTAACAATTTTGTAGATATGACTAAACATAAAGTATCTTTAAAAAGAAAGAGATCTATGTTAAGTGAACTTAAAATATAAATTAAAATAGACTGAATTTACCTTATAGTTATTTAGTTATAGGAGAAGTTATTTGTAAATTTTATTGACTTTTATGAAAGTAGTTTTTATATTACATTCTGAAAAACTTTTCCTCACAAGATGTCATCCTGATAGTATCTAGTATTGAAAATGTTACTTGATGCAAGAATTGATTATGAATGATGCATCAAGTTTTAATCTTTCACTGGTTAAAATGTATTTATTGTAATAAATTCACAATTAA